CCTCTAACTTGAATTTCCTTCATACATGAGAAGGGCAGTGCATCCAAGTAAATGCTCTTCAATTCTGGTAGATTGAATAAAAGAAGATCTTGGAGATTTGAAAATGGACTTAAAGTTTTTACGAGCTCTGCCACCTGACGCAATTTTATCTCATTGATTATTTCTTCCATTTGATCGCATGCCCCTACGAGTAATACTTCAGATTTGGAGCCAAAATCAGCCATGTTATGTCTCTCAACTCTGAACATCTTATTATGCGAACACGGAGAAGGCTTTGAAAGCACGGTACAGTTGCAATCACAGATGTATGAATTTCGATAGCTGCTTTTATTATTCTGCCTTCCCCTTCCCACACTGTCTTCACTTCTTCCAAACTTTCACACTTCCCTAAGAGAAAGTGTATTTAAACTCTTCAAATTCGCTAAAGATAAAATGTTCAATTGCTTTGAGTCCCTGAAAAATGCAATGTCAATCTCTTCAGTGAAGTTGTGTAACTTTTCAGCACTCAAAAATCTATCAAGAGCAAAAACACTTGTTACGGACAAGGTCAACACATTCAAGTGGTTTAAGCACTGCAATTCCTCTGCCAAGCATTCCTTATCATCCTCATCGAAAGGATAAGAATCAAACATTCTCAATATTTCCAGCTTTGAGAAGCCAGACATCAACCCTCTTGGGATTTTGATTCGATTGCCCGTGTCCTCCAATTTCAAACATTTCAGCTTTTTTAAAGCCTTCAATTCCATTGGTGGCTCTCTTATTCTTGTCCCTGATAGGTTGAGAGATTCTACAGATACCAATTTTGAAATTCCCATTGGAAATTCTGTAATACCTTGATTATTTGACAAGTCCAAAACTTTAAGGACACACATAAATTGGAAGAAGTCATTGTCGATCACCTTCAAATGTTCATTACCACAGAGAAACAAAGTTTGCAGATCAGGACAGTTAGGTGCTTCCTTTAGATTTTCAATCTTGTTGTCCATCAAAGACATTCTTCGTATGCCTCTCCATTTTCCAACCTCTGGCACTTTAGTCAATTGATAACCTGCTTGCACAAAAAACTTCCACTTCTGTGCTTCACAAGTACATGCTATCCACAAGCTCATGTCACGAATCACATCATGCATTTTAACATACCAATCACCTACTTCTTCCAACAAACATGCATGAATGAGAGAACCAATGATATAGTGGCCTTGATTTCGAGCTTGACTAATGTTGTCATGTTCATCCAAAAATCCTTCTCCTATCCAGCAATCTATAAGCCTTTCTTTTACAATTCTAAAATCTTCTGAGAACAAACTACAATATAAGAGGCAAGATCGAACCGTGTCACTTGACAAACTATCAAAACTATATTTTAGAAGTGGATATACCTCTTCACCCATGCCTTTAAAAATCGAAGTAGCTGATGATCTCCTCAAGACTTCAATTGCATATTTCCATTCTTGAGATGTAGTCCTGTAAGCCATGGCACGACCAATTGTGATGAGTGCAAGAGGTAGTCCTCCACATTCTTTGGCCACTTCTTGAGCTAGCTCACGAACATTTGGATGACTATCAAGGAGATCTTTACTAACATGTTCTTCAAACAATTGCCAAGCCTTCTCTTCCGACAAACATGTCACTTCAAAATTCTTATGAGTTCTCATTTGGCCACACACCTGGAGAAAACGAGTTGTAAGAATTAGTTTGGAACCATTTTCTTGAGTCGGGGAAGGTATACCTATCTTAGATAGATC